ACAAGTACATCGTTTTAAAGATTTAGTTAGCCTTACTATTGATACGACAATAGGGCTCGAGATACTTTCATGTGAAGCTAGCTACTAATTAAGGGCCATCGAACTCACGTAGTAAATGTGAGAATTAAGTGAATGCAAGGGGATGTCACGGGATATAAGAGACATCTATACACATAGTTGCTAAATACAATGCAGCTACAAGCTGAACCACGCATACTGCCTAATCCCCATAAATGAATCTTCCTTTGTATCAATTGTTCATCGATACACTCCGAAAATTACATTTCTCAGTAATACCATTCGCTTGTGAGAACACGGACTAGATCCATGTGACATAATCCCATGCTCTTGCAGGCATGGCAATCAATCTTCGGGTTCCATAAAGGAAAATAATTTTCTGAGCAACTAAGCAGCTGTCAGTTTATCAAGAATGACTGCTTTCTTGTATTACTTAGGCCTAGGTCATAAAAATAGGTAAATCTATCCCTGTAACAGGCCGAGGAGGCCCATAGAGTTGTGAGACGTCGAAGCTTCCACATTTTCTAGACAATCGGCTCACAGATGGCGGTGAGGTTGTCAGCCTTACGTGCCGGCTGCCCTCCACCCCCAGGAAGGTTCCTGGTACTCATTTCTGTTAGAGGCTGAGTCGACCCAAGGACCATAGTGCAGCCGGAAAAATTAGGTCAATTGAAAAATCCAATGACTTACTGAATATCGGAGAATCATAAGAATGGACTTCATTCCACATGTGTTTAGGTATACACTTCTCACCGACCACATTAAAGAGTACTATTAAGTATATAAGAATTCGGTTCGTACCTCACAGGAAACACATGACATCTACGCCACAAAGACCAGTTGGTTAATGTTCTTTAGGGAAAAGGTCGCTGTCTATAGCGAGAACCATAAGGAAAGCGAAAAATAAATTTTGTGGGCGGAATGCAGAATGTAATACGTTAAAGCAAGTGGTACGTAGAGTAAGCAGTCGACTTTAGAGTGTTAATCCATTTGTAAATAAAGGATTCGCTTATATATTTCTGCGCAAGCCGCACTAACGCGTTAAAAAGAGCCGCATGCGGCTCGCGAACCACTGTTTTGTCACACACGTGCGTATAGTCGTGTAGTATGGTGATTAATAAATAATAACCCGTAACGGATTTGGAAGAAGCGATCATATCTTAATCGAGGTACAATCCCAGCATTTAACTCAAAGGGACTGAAGAAAACCAAGTAAAACTTCCATCAGGCAAGCCGGTGACCAGGCAAAAAATCGAAAGGAGCACCTCCCGAGTAAGAGTAATATCATCCTGCTTGATGGTTTCAAAGACACTGTGAGTTTTAGCAGCAAGCAAGGACCCGGAAACTGTCCATAACTGATTCAGGATATCTTCAGATCTTCGTAACACGGGCTAATAAACAACATTCTAAAGTTAGTATACAGATTACGGAATTAACTACAGGTTTTGTTGTTTTATATAAACGGATTTCTCTATTGATTTTCTCCTGCGCTGTATCCGTGATGCTGAAATATAATAGGATCTCCCGTCATTCAAGACCTGCAAGACGCTCTACTTCTCTCCATGGAGACCGTTTGTGTTTTCAGTTCTTCTGCTCTACGTTTGAAGACGTACTGATCATTATGTGTTCCCTTTTATAAGGTAGGGATATTTGGTAACTACCTTCCTTAACTCTTCGAAATACTGGCTTTCGTTGTCTCGTTTTGACTCGGGGTAGTAGAGAAGTAGATTTAAATCACCTCATTTTTCAAATCGCGCCTCGAAAATAATTCTTACTTCAGTTCTGAAATATGTTTGTAAGAATCTATGTGTGTCTATGTTGAACATACTGTCACGTAGTGTCTGTGTGTGGTTATAGATTGGGTTGTGGGCTGGATATTGGGTTTACTGGCTACTTATAAACACAACTCGAAACAACAAGCAATTACTGCGCCATCGTTAATCTCCACAGTTCACAAACCACCACAGCACCCGCTAAGTCCTTTCCAGCCTTCTGTGTCTTCACCAGCTGTTTCCTGGCAACGGCTTCTAACAGTGGAGATTCTTCATCTTCACGCGCTCAAATCCTCTCTTCGCAGACTCCCATACAGAACTGTCTTGGTTGCACCAGTTGCCTTCCTTATAACTTCTTTGCATCGCCCGAGTATAAAACACCGTTTCCAACAGTACCTCTATTCTTGTATGAGTATCCATCGCCTCGGGGAAGTGTTTACCGAGCCGTTGCCTGGAAAAGAATGCTGTTTCAGAGCCGTTGGCTTGCAACGGCTGTTTCTCTAGTTCTACAGTTCCTGCTTTCAGTAAATATGAAATAATACACTCGTATATTATATGCATCACTTAAATATCATGGGATTTCACAGTTAAGTTGCTGAGCAGGTTGGTGCAGGGCTAAAGTTATGGTCTTGTATTAGGTATTTATTCGGTTCTAATCTCGATTGGGACACTGACTATGCTGTCTAAGATTTGTAGTGTTTTTCCTTAGTTTTCCCAGGAAAATTCTCGGTGGATACCTCGATTAGATCACGAATGCTTCATTCGACATAATTCCAAATCTTTATTCACCAATTATCTTACCATTCGACACCATACATTTTGGCATATCGACAGCGTGGTAAATTAGCCCACAAATAGATAATAAAATCCCAGATAGCTCAGTTAACATAGTGCCTACACTTAAATTATCAACAGGTAAATACGCTGAACTGTATAAATCGAAATCAAACACTGACTGAGCGAGATAACGGGAAGCTTTAGGAAAAAAATGGATTAAATGTAACCTCTACTTTACTTTCATTTGTTTCGTATTGTACACAAGTTCTAACAAGCGAAACACTGATAGAATGATCTAATAAACTTATTAAATAATATTTATACTTCGTACTTCCATAACCTATTTAAAAGCGTTCTTCTTGCGCTTAATTAATTAAGCACCACGCCATGAAGACGTTTGCGAGAGTGGCCAGCTTCACGTCCTGACCGTTTTGACCCCAGAGAAACAGTTCCCGGTAACATTTGATAAGAGAATGATGAGTCCCAAGGCGGTCTAGAAGCTGTGGAAGAGAGAACAATTTCTTACCCCTGCTGGGAATCAAAACCCTGTCGTCCAGCTCGAAGTCCGTTGCTATAAGGACTCAGCTTCCTATAGAAATTGTCCCTTTTGCATTTTTTTTTAATTCCTGATCCATTTTCGCACTGACAACTTTCGGTGGCTATATTCAAATATATTTCGAAAGCGTACGCGATGGATTCCCCTAATAACATGAGTTCAGGACAGCTGCTTCGCTTGCTCCGCCTACTTCTGCCTATAATCCTGTGCCCTAATAGGGTGCATACAGAGTGCCATATGTATGGATATAACAGAACTAAACATGTGCGCGGATACAGAGAAATAATTTCTTAGCAAGACTTAATGGAAACTGTTACGATTTCGTTCTTAATTCCAATCACGAGGCATGGAATCAAATTCCATCTGTACTCTTCTTTCAAGGTCAATGCGCGGCATTCACTGTCTTAAAATGAATTGCTTCTGGTGTGTGAAAATATGGACAGGATTAATGTGGTTCTGAACACGGTCCAGCAGTGGAGTCTGGGATGTGACAGCATGTATGATTAGGTTCTAAATGGTTCTGACGATGGTGTATAACACTCAGCATTACTGGAATTTTGAACTCCGACCATTGTCCGGTATTCTAGAAACTAGAAAACACAACGTTTCGGAAAGTTTATTTTTTCTGTCCTCAGGTGAGGTGTGAAGACAACTACTCCCTTAGAAAGAGCTAACCTCAATTACTGGACATTTCTAAGGAACCCAACAGAACATGTGTCCACCTGACCTGAGGACGGAAACAGATCCAGTTTTCGAAACACTGCGTTTTCTAGTTTTTTAGAATACCGGATGATGGACAAAGTCCGAAAACTCAGTAATTCTGAATGTGTACGATTTTTACCGACGTTTCGGAAGAATATGTTGCCTGCATCTTTAGGACTAAAGTTGGAAACACTTTACTAGACTACACGGCTTCACACATCAGAAGACTATAGGTAAAGTTTATAGCTCCAGTCACGAGAATCTCATCCATCACATACTTTGGACATAGTAACAAAAAGGGTGGAGAATTTCTTGGCTTGCTGCGCGACTATTAGCCTCTACGGAGTTAGAACCTCCAGTGAAAATTAAGAGAGGCAATTACCAAGGCCCTCCATAACGTAGTATGCAAGCTGAAAAAAAACTTCGGCGTCATTTTCGGGTGACTCATCATTGTCCTTGGTACACCGTAGCTCAACGTTCCCCTGAGTGAAAAACAGAAAAGTCAAGGTCGACCAGTTCTACCTCCTGCTACCTCGCCTTCTCTTCGTTGGACGATTGGAGACAATTAAATTAAGTTTCTTCTTGTTCTTTATGGGGGGCACGCGATAGCGTAGTTAGTTGAGGCACTATGCTACAAGACGTATGATCGTGGGTTCGATTTCCGATGAGGTCATTGGATCTTGCAATTGATATAATGCTTCCAGCCGCACTGGGTTCGACTCAACCTCTAACAGAAATGAATACCAAGAATCTTCTTGGGGGTAAAGGTGCGGCCGGCGCGTATGGCTGACAACCTCACCGCCATCTGTGAGCCGATTGTCTACAAACTTTGAGAACCTCGACGTCTTACAACTCTGTGTGCCTCCACGGCCTGTTACAGGGATAGCTTGGCGCCTAAGGCTGACCTCACCGCCATCTGTGAGCTGGTTACCTAGAAATTGTGGAAGCCTCGACGTCTCACAGCTCTGTGGGCATCCACGGCCTGTTACAGGGATATTTTTACCCTTTAGGTTCTTTAAGAGAGACCTACTTACGTTTTATGTAAAATAGTGGTGCAATCTGTATCAACAAGAAACTTCTTCGTTCCATTCAGTTTCATTGACCACTGGATTCTCTTTAACTTTCCAAATCAACATTTAAAAATACTTTAACGACGTTTCCTTTCAATTGCCCAGGTTCGTGGTTGGTGTGAAAGCAGACTGTCCAGCTCGGCTAGACAAGGGGGTGGAGACGGTGCAGTTAATGCTCCAGGGTAGCCGCCCCCTATCTACCGCCACCATTCTGCCGGCACAGGGGCATCACCAGCTGGGCTCGGCCACGGCGCCATGGCCCCCCACGGCCCACCATTCCATGGGCCTCTCCTCGGACGACATTCCCCACAAAGGTAGGAGATGGCTGATCACTGTTACCTTTGACGCTCCAGTAATATTTTAAAAAAATTCCAAATTATGTAGAATATCTGCATGATCACGTAACAGACCTTACACACTTGTAAAGCTAGTATACAAATATTGTAGAAAATATAAGCCCACAGATGGACCCACTGTACAAAGGGACAGAGTGATATAAGGCGCATATAGATTAAGGCCACTTGAACACGGGGACCTTGGGTTCAAATCCCATTCGGGGCAAGACTGTAAATCTATATTTATCCGGTTTTTCTTTCCCTGTGTAAGTAGAGGTCTTGGGAAGAGAGCCCCAGCTAACATTCATGTTCCCAGAACTTAACTGAAATAGATCAAAGGACCTAATCGGATAAGGCTGTAGGCTCTATAGGGATAAATGATTCTAGATAGGAAGAGTTACATTTTCTGTCACCTTGCTTTATGAACATTTTCCTATTAGAATCGCTTATACGAGTATAAGGTTGTACTAGTAACACTTTTAAAGAGAGAAAGGCAAAGTTCTGTCTGCCTTATCTTCTGAGGTAGGCGTACGAATATTTAGAAACCGAGTTTACAAATTGTAGACTCAATTCAAGAATCAGAAATTTTGCTCCTGAATGCAGAATCTATTGAATTATTTTCTACCGAGCAGCCTGGCCTAGTAGTAACCCTTTAAGTTTGTATTCAGAATGTTTTGCTTTCAAATCTCGACCAAGACACCGGCTAGCCTGAAGATATTCATAGTTTTCTTCAGTATCTCCAGACAATCGGGGATAGTACCTCACTTAGGACATGGTAATTTCCTTCCAAATCACTCACATTTGTCGATCATCAATATGTTTCGACTTCTCGCTATGTAGTCTCTATACTGAGTGTGTCGTGAAGAAAGCCACGAAGTGAAATAATGTGAGTGGACCCCCACGGCCTGCTACAGGGATATCTTTACCTATTACGGGGCACGCGGTAGCGTAGTTATTGAGGCACTATACTACAAGCCGGAAGGTCGCGGGTTCGATTCACGATAAGATCACTGGCTATTTCTAGTTGACATAATCCTTCTAGCCGCACTATAGTCCTGGGGCCGACTCAGCCTCTAACAGAAATGAGTACCAGGAATCTTTATTGTGGGTAAAGGGCGGCCAGCGAGTAAGGCTGACACCCTAATCGACATCTGTGAGCCGATTTTCTAGAAAATGTGGGAGCCTCAACGTAGGCCTCCACTGCCTGCTACAGAGATAGCGTTACATTTTACCTTACTACGAACACTGTTAAAACAGATATACTAAACCTGCCCTCTATTCCCTTGATATAAAACTTCACGAAAAGGCCTCCCACTCTTTTCCCTTATGTATTCTGCACCCCTTTGGAGCACTTAAGAGTAAAGGCGACAAAGAACCACAACCAAGAACCAACCAACCAACCCTCCCCTCCAACAATCAGAGTACATACGTCCCCCACACTTGAACCTCAATTCCTAGTTCCCACATTAACTTCCCGCCACTCTGCCTGTTCCATCGGCGTTTCCTCCCTCAGGACTGTCCTTGTCGGTGTTCCGAGCTCAGCCGCTGAATACACACAGAATGTTAACTTCACTCCAAAATATCCACATCGACCTTCGTCTAATGCCCCTTCGGGCTACATGAGAATTTGGAGATTGCAGTCTTTTGGGTTGTGACACCTTGTAGTCCGGTAGACACGCACCAACGTTTCAAATATACCTTCCACTCCCTTCTTCAATGCAGTGAAGTGAACCACTCTTTTACATTCAAGGTAGAGAGATGTTCTCTCAAAATGTTGATACCTATACAGAGTGCCCCCCCCCAAATGTATGCACACTTCGAGATAAAAATATCTGCTTAAATAATTGATTGGTACATCTACAGTTCAGCTTCGAAGATGTCCGTAAACAGTCATGGAATGGTCAAGAATTTTCTTTTATCCACGTCAACCAGACCGGTTCTGGGCCCACCCAGTATCCTTTTGGATGGGTACTGGGGCCTCTTTCCCTGGAGGTAAAGCGGCCGGTGCGTGAAGCTGACCACTCATCTCCAGCTGGTGCCAAGGTCAAGAAAACGTGGATCTATACATCCACTCTCCAATATGCCTTCATGGCATGGTGCTTAATTAGTTAAGCACAGGGACAACTTTACCTTTCTACCTATAGAAGTTACCTATGAAAATTTTTAAAGTTGAATTGATGATATACAAATAAATTAGTTAACCAGATATTCCGCACGTTGAAAACTGTATAAAATTTTTTGGGCCCCTCTGTAAGTAAACTGCGCATCATCATTGCGTAGAAGACTATAATTTTCATAGTGATCATCATGACAACCAAAATTTTACACTGTTCCTAAATTATCTTTGAGAGCGGTCATCGTCAGTGAAGTAGATCGTTGCGTCATCGCTGTAAGTTACTAGTTTCTGCTTTCAACATATGTATGTTACCAAATTCTCATACCGGAAATCCCGTAGAACAGAAAGGACTCTTCTTCCGTAAGGCTGTCTACTGAAAATACGACGTACACACAAGTTTTAAATAGACTACACGCCAAAGCTTGATGCAAGTTTCAGGCAACTTAACAGGAAAACGTTGTCAGAAATAAATTATATAAATTTTGCAATTAAACGCAAATGAATTCTTCTCGGGCAATCAGCCACGTGAATAGAAGTTTCGGGCGCTGTGTCTTTATTACAAATGAGTTAGCCGACCTGCAACAGTTGGTAATTTGTGTACAGTTGAAATCTCCGAAATGTCGAAGCTTCACTTCTATACTTCGTTGCTGAACGCTCCTGAATACGCCTACTTCTTTGCAGGATTTGTGTTATAGGCTTACTATTCTGAAGATGCCACAGAGCCTGTTGGCTCAGCCGGTAATGCTCGTGACTTCGAGGCGTATTTGGGAGGTGATCGGTTCGAAACTCGCCTGTACACCGGATACCCTCTCTGATTTATTTCGTTGTTTCCTCACTCTCACCGAGCTAATACCAGAACAGTGCCCCTTACTACGACACTACCTATTCCTTCCATATCCTTACCAATCTATTACTCAAAACACGCAGCACAACATACAACAGGAGAGAATACAACCCACCAAATGCACATGTACATCGAGGGGACTTATATACATATATCAGCAACATAAGCAATGAAACAGAAGAAAGCAGTTTCCTCGCCCAATAATTTTAACACCTGATGATGACCACAATGGCCGAAATATGTAGTGATGGACATTTTAAGTCAATAACTTTTAATTAATACATTTTATAGAACACAGTGTTGCACGCAAGACTGTAAAAAAACTAATGGACAGTACTATTCGTTAAATCACTCAACGATGCAATACCACATATTCTGATATAGTCCTAATGGCAGCGTTGTTAAATAAACCATAAAAATTTTTAAAAATTGGTTTGATTTTGGAAGCATAAGGTATACACGTATGAGTCACATGAAAAACACACACAAACCTGAAAGAAAGATACCAACAGGGAGCCAGAAGCAGAAATTGGAAGATAATATTAGACTGGACATTCAGGTTTATCAAAATATAAACATTTTTCTGACCAGCTTCTCAAAAGAGCCCTGTTGCGGGAAGGGGATAAACTGAGTATAATAATGTTGTGTTTTATCATCCTGTTACAGTTGGTATTAGAATTCATTTCTTGGTTTTGTTTACCATCCACTATGCGGCAACGTTAAGATTTAAAATTAAATACTTTTAAAATTCGTCACTGCACTATATACGTATTTTGACCTACTCCGCCATCAACAAATCTGATGATGTCCGAGAAGGCCGAAACTTGTAGTACAGTGCAGTGCAGAATTTAATTTGAAATCTGAACATTTCTGCATGGCGGCCCACAAACAAAAACCAATAGGGCTATACGAGTATATCACATACGTACAGGTTTAATAATTCAACTTATAGCCGCAGAAATAACCCAATAGCTAGCCGATATAACAGTCATTCACCTTTAGCGCTCTATTACACCTTCCCATCGGGTTTTCAGTATTTGAGCTCAGGACAACTATCGTTCTATCTCCGATTTCAATAAGGCTTACTTTCCAAGTTAGCGATGATGTAAAGTAGCCTTTATCGGCGATTGTCCTAAGGTCGAATAAGAGCTTGCAATACAGCATTCCTACATACAGGCTGACGAAATTCTTAAGGTCTAGTGGGTGCCTGTCAAAAGCATGCAGACCCCAAACCGTGAGATGATGTAAGACAGCGATACATCTTGCCGTACAGGGTACACAGTCTTTCCTGGTCTTTCCTGACGTTCTCACAGCGGGATGGCACGCAGTCTGCTATAAGTTCAACATTTAGATGGACTGTACTCCGTGCATCTTCAGGATCGCAGGATAAGCCAAGCGACCAGAAAGAAAGTGCACTTTAATTGCTAGATTGGAAAGGGTTCTGACGATAGTGTATAACACATGGGATTACCGGGTTTTGGGGCTTTGACCATCTTCCTGTATTCCAAATGACACAAGAGAACACGTTTCTGAAAATGGATCTGTTTCCGTCCTCAGGAGAGGGGCAGGAGGCTCCTAACTTGTTGTACTCGTTAGAAAGAGCTAACCTCTAACACTGGACTGTTTTTCGTGTTATTGGGAATACAGGCGGATGGATAAGTCCAAAAACCCATTTACCACGACTTCAATTCCTGTCTGACACTTTCTTCGTTTGCTCAGTTTATTCTTTCATGATGAAGACTGAGGCAGCAATTTTTTTCCGAAATGACAGAAAAATTCTACCAGACTAAATACTGTCACTCTTCATGGGCGTAAATTACTAACATTTCAAAGATATTAGAAATTGAAATATTTATTCAAATACAGCAGCGTTACACGTAACAAAGGAAACGACAGAGATGAGAGCGTACTTACCGGTAAACAATGAGAGAGAGGGACACGAAGAAAATGTTCTTGGATTCCCAACATAAGCACTAAGGAGGGCATTAATCTTGGCCCGGAGACCAGACATCTGTCTGA